CTGGTTTGCTGCCCCCTGGTTTGCTGCCCCCTGGTTTGCTGCCCCGCTGGGTAAGAACTTCACTGCCACCCAGTAAGTCACAGGCTCCCTTCTCCAGCTAGACCGCAAACTGCCCGAAGGGGGAATTGTCACCAAGGGAGGCGTCATCTCTGTACCCCCCATCACCACTGGAAGTGGTCTGATTAGCATCAGTGATGGTAAAATCCTGTTTAAGTGTCATTAGACCTGGGAGTGAAAACCTTAAAGCAGCCCTGGCGTTATGGCCAGAGGGCGCCCCCTGGTGGCGCTGAATGGGCAATTTCAGTCTCCAGCTCATCCTACCACACGAAACACATCACATACGAATCAGGCGTGAGGTGTCCATGCTGATTTTTGCAGCGATCATTTCCTGCATATTGTCTGGAATACTTTGTAAACTGAGCTCCTTCTGTATTTTGTGCCTAATGTGGGAAAGTGCAGTGCAGGGTTCGGATGTTAAGTCGGTGCTCCATCACTCAGCCCAAAAGACAAAGGTCAGTTTTACTTTGAAAGGTTTCATGAGTAGATTATGTAGACATCTGTATGTATCTGAAAATGTCTGTGTCCATAAGAATAGCGTCGGTCGTGGATTAGCTGGTGTTATCTGTTTGCACTGGCTTGGACTTGGGTGTGACATTAGTGATTTGCTGCTAGGGTCAAAGTCTGGATTTAACGGCAAAGTGCTGCATGATGCCTTCAATTGCGTCCACAAGGAGGCACCCTGATGTGTTCTGGGTGGGGTATAGTCCCTGAGCTGCGGGTGACGGGCATGTTGGGGGGGTTAAAGCAGAACTGACACTGCAGTCACACCTTCACCCTGACAGCTGAAGACTGGGCCTTTTCCAGCTTGACACTCGCAACTGTTTGCTCAGAAAAAAATCATGTGTAAGTGTCAGAAGGTGTATGCAGATGCATGTGATTCAATGTGTGATTACGAGACTTTATGCGCATTTGTCACAACATTCTGTGTGTGACCACATTCTCAGCCTGTGTCACCCCCGTGTGTGACCACATTCTCAGCCTGCATGTGACCGTGTTTGACAGCATGTCTCAGCTAGTCTGTGACCGTGTGTGACCGTGCTTCTCAGCCTGTGTGTGACCGTGTGTGACAGCATGTCTCATCCTGTATGTGACCGTGTGTGACAGCATGTCTCAGCCTGTTTGTGACCGTGTGTGACAGCATGTCTCAGCCTGTATGTGACCGTGTGTGACATGTCTCAGCCTGTATGTGACCGTGTGTGACAGCATGTCTCAGCCTGTATGTGACCGTGTGTGACAGCATGTCTCAGCCTGTATGTGACCGTGTGTGACAGCATGTCTCAGCCTGTATGTGACCGCGCTTCTCAGCCTGTGTGTCACGCCCCTGTCTGACCCTTTCCCTATTATTTTTTTCTGTAACATATTTCATTTTGTATTCAGGGTATATATCAGTTCAAAGGCTCCCTTTGTGCCGATATCCATAAGGAGCCATCAGCGAAAAGCATTTCGGCATCTTATACCGAGTGGAACCCTGTTTGTACGGGCAGGAGGTCGATGTCTTAAGCAGGCCTCTTAAGCAGGCCTCCGTGTCTGTGCTGCTGCTGATTTGTGCCTGATCCGCCTTTAATGTCACATTCGGCACATTCATCCGGTCCGGAATCCAGCAGCGTGCCAAGCGGCCAGTTGACCGCGTGGATATTTACAGCCTCTGCCGTGCAGGTAATGTTACTTAAGTGTCTGCTTCCAGGTAGATGGAAAGCGGACGTCCACAGAGCCTGCCTGCTCTCGACCGGCGAGTTATTTACAGCATCTGCTGGAGCCCTTTGTCTGTGTCGTTAAGGGTTACGAAGCCAAACCTCTCCTTTCGAGAAGCGTCACGGATTAAGAGATCAGAATGTTTTCCACATGGTCCCCTTGACTGTCAGGAGAATATTAAAGAACTTTTCCAGCTTCCGTAGCCGAGCCAGATGTGGAGGGGGGTCCAGGAGAGGAGCGAAACGAACGTACTTATCCTCCGGCTGACCCCACCGCAACATCGGGACAGATCAATTCTGACACCGGTGCAGGGTGGTGGGGGTCGATTCTGGGCTGCAAGAACGAAGCTAAGCTTTTGCCCACCGAACAACGTCCTTATTTGGCGCCTTTTCTCAGGGACGCGGCGCCGTTTCATGCGATCCCTGTCAGACCGCACTGTAATCGCTGTTTGTGTTGGCAGGAGGCGGTAATCTGCTCCTCTGTGTCCACAGCTCTGCACATTCCCAGATCTCGGCTTTGCTAACGTCACCATCGGCTATCGTACCGGGCAGACGTTGTTGTTGTGTAAACACCAAGGGGTAATTTACGGTGCCAGTCCACGCACATCCTGCTCCAAAGTGCCAGAGGCAGCAAGGTCTTGAGTGAACGATTCCTGGCAGGGGGATGCTGAGAAGGAACAGTGCGACCTTCAGTAGCAAACGCCAACTCTGGTGAGAAGCGGTGGTCAGAAAACTTGCAGTGGCAGTGTTCAGTTAGCTTAACACAAGGCAGAGAACAGATGTGAGCCCCTTGTTAGAGCGCAGCATTCACTCAGCTGTGACTCCTGTAAAAACAATACTTTCCTGAGGGAAGATACTTCAGAGGCTGCAGTTCTGAACATTAGATGCCCGCGCCAAGTCCTGGCGCATGAAGGAGGTCCGTGGCAAGCTGAGTGGGGGGCCTCTCTCAGCCTCTGACGTGGCGGGAAGCCCAGGGATGCTAGCAAACCATGCTGACATTTCTCAAAATAAACCCCGGAATCTGAGCAGAGGACACTGGGCCATGGCGGGTGAAGTGTATGCCGGACACGGCATTCCAAGCGCGCGCCGGACACGGCATTCCAAGCGCGCGCCGGACACGGCATTCCAAGCAGCAACAAACAGAGCAGCAACATCCGCGATGCTGCTTTTCGCCGGATGTTTGTGGATCAAAGAGACTCACGAATGGAGGGCATAAAAAAAGCAGCATCCCCGTTTCCCAGTGATGCTGAGCCTGCTGGTTCTGGGAAAGTTGTCAGAGCTGCGGACCAGGGCACCGGGTCTGGAGCAGGTGCCACGCCTGCTCTGAACCCCTGGATCAGTCCTTGCAGGGAGAAAAGACTGACTTTAGGCTTTTGGCTGACAGTGGCGGCTGAATTCCTGACAAACAAGGTGACTTTTCACGCTGGTACAGCACGTGACATCATGGCTGGTGCCCGGTACTCGCTCTAGCCACCTAACGCACCCGCTTCCTTGCACCACTTCTTAGCGACATCACCAGACAAGATCCCGCCTGCTCTCTGACTCCGAAGAGCTGCTGTAAGCCACCCTCAACTGCACAACAAAGGAGCTGTAATTGAATGCATGCGGCCTGCGTGGCGGCCTCAGTCCCCTTTTGCGGTCGTGGTCATGCTCCAGAAATTCACGGGCATGTTTTTTTACTCTGAAGGACTTTAATTAAAGCTGCACGGTGTGGTTCCGGTCGTTTCTGGAAAGACAGATGGGTCTGTCATGCCTAAGCTAAGCTGATTTGCAAAAAATCGGTTTTGTGGTCATTGCTGCTGCGAGATTGTCCCACCGTGACCCCCCGACCACAACTGAGGATTGTATTTTAAGGGCACTACTGATATGATCGCTTTAAGAGAAATTAACAAAGTATCCCTGAGCCAGAGCCATTTTTCTGTGTAGTTTAACAGTGCCGAAATCTGGTAAATAACAGAAAGGATTAAGGTCCCGATGAGCCCAGGAAATTCCCCTGGCACCTGATTCATCTCCTTACCTGCCCTCCATAAAAAACACAAACAACATCAGAAACGTGGCAGCAGTCAAAGGGGCAGATTTATTGACGCTATGAGTTTCTTTCTAATGAAATAAGAGCCATGTGAATGGGGTATAGGAAAGGCAAACTATGAGTGTATGATGTAAAGCAGGGTAACCACTGCTCTGTCTTTGATGCTGCTTGAATGTCACCCAGATTTCTGGGGATTTACATGAAGTAGCTTCAAGGTCCACATCTCCACAGCCCTCAGAAGGTACACATCTCCATAGCCACAGTCCTCAGAAGGTGCACATCTCCATAGCCACAACCCACAGAAGGTGCACGTATCCATAGCCACAGCCTTCTGAAGGTGCACATCTCCATAGCCCTCAGAAGGTGCACATCTCCATAGCCCTCAGAGGGAGCACGTCTCCGTAGCCACAGCCCTCAGAAGGTGCACGTATCCATAGCCACAGCCTTCTGAAGGTGCACATCTCCATAGCCCTCAGAAGGTGCACATCTCCATAGCCCTCAGAAGGTGCACATCTCCATAGCCGTAACCCTCAGAAGGTGCACATCTCCATAGCCACAGCCCTCAAAAGGTGCACATCTCCATGGCCACAGCCCTCAGAAGGTGCACATCTCCATAGCCACAGCACATCTCCATAGCCAGAGCCCTCAGAAGGTGCACATCTCCATAGCCGCAGCCTTCAAAAGGTGCACATCTCCTGAGGTTAGGGCGACATTCCCTGGATGCCATTCACATGTCCACCACATGGTTAAAAGTGAGGTGTTTCAGGGAGTCTGCTTTATGTTCAAACTTTTTAAATTACTTTGACTGTCTACCATCAATTGGCGGAGCAGAGAAGGTTTAATCTCAGCCTGCCCGCGAAACTCCTACAGCGGACCCGTAAATTGACTTCATGCTCACAGGACGGGAAGTTAATTTGGCCGAGCAGGATTTCCCAACTGTCTGGGCTCAGCCGGCATGGGATCGTCTGGAGAGGTGTGATGAATTAGATGAGGTCAAGTCCACAGAGTTAAACTATATATCCTTCTCCATTGTGTGGAGAGCCAGAGGTTGGAAAAGTTACATTGTTGGGAAGGTGCTCAAGAAAGCTTCCGAAATAAGGCTTCCCAGAGAAAGGAATGTCTTTATCGAGGATGAAAGCGGGGACCTCCCTGCCCACAGGGCTGACAGAATTCATTTCTCTCACAGCTGGTGGCGTGAAGCACCGGCACCCCCGTAATGAAAAGCCACGATAAAATCTTTCATTTCCACCCTGTTTGTCGAGGTGGGGGTGAACAAATGGGGAGGGGGGACAAATTTCCCAAGCTGTTATTATTTTCTGTGGTCATGGGGCAGCTGTGATGAATCAATTTTATGCTGATTCACAATGAAAAAAACTTTTTCCCCAGGGGAGTGAATTCCCAGATCAGAGCTCGCCGTGAACCGTAGCTACCTCTCAAAGTGTGGCACACGAGCACACAGAACATTTCCAAAATATTTCTCTAGGTATAACAGAAGCTGGAATGCAGGCAGCGGGGAGCAGTAACCCGACAGAGGTTGCTTTGTTAATGCCAGTTCTCCGAGAGCCTATTTCCAGCTCAGAAACTGTCCTGCGACATGCGCACAAACAGCCAAGGAAAATGTTATTTTTTGCAGAGTAAATGGTACCATGTCAGGCGCTGAGGTAAAAATAAAAAGTCGATCCGGTGTCTGGTGTAGGTCGGCCCGCGGGTCGCCGCTGTACTGTTCCCCGGCTTTGAAATCGGACCCGCATCGGGACACAGAGTTTACAGTGACATGGGGGGGGGGGGGTGGGGGGTGGTAACAGCGGGGCTCATTCATGTCATGTGCGGTCGTAACCTCGCCCTGAACCGGCAGAGTCCTGTGTTCGGCTAAACGGCGCGGGCGGCCTGCCTGATAGAGAGAGAGAGCAAGACAGGGAAGGAGGGGGGGGGTGACCGACATAGAGACAGGCTTCCCATTCTGCCATCCGCCATGTGCTCGGTGTGTGGGGGGGGGGGGCAGGTGATGAAAGGGCACCCCCCGCCCTGCTATAGCCCCCCCCCGGGCTCCCACTTTGGCCTCACAGGTGTCACGAGGGCTCAATGACAGACGAGTTCAGACACCCCACCCTCGAGGGACTCGCTCTCAACCCCCCTGCACCCACCCTGCATGCGTCGGGGGCGGGGGGGGGGCTTTGTCGAGGCTGACTGTCATATGAAACGGGAGAGTAGGCGGAGCCCCAGAGGTACTGGTGCGGCCCTGGGGAGGACACGGCTTCAGCAGGGGGCGCTCTCTCACTTTCCTGCGGCTACATGGTCCTGGACCCGATATTGAAGTGCAGAACACCCCGCACCCCCCTACCCCCCACAGCTAGAGCCTTTCCTGACCTGTGAAGGTTTCTCTCCATGTTTTTCCAGGGCCCCCCGCCTTGCTGTGGGGGTGTGTTACCATGTCTTTTACTTGCTCCCTCTAGGGAATCCCCTGTTCTAATTGTCAGATTGTGTTTCCCATTAGACAAGTCCTACACTGAACTGTGCGTGTGCGTTCAACATCTCCCCCCTGCATACAGACACACCATCTTCATGCACGATCATGTACATATATCAACAGGTACCCGCTCTGGTTATGAAATATTTCTGCGACTTCTGAGTCTCAGTTTTGGCTCTTAAACTGTGGTTCCTGGTTGAGGGCTTTGCGCTTTACTCTCTGCTCTGGCCGGTCCTGATTTATAGCTTTTACACAGCAGTGTATTTTACTGCAGTAGCACAGGTTAAGCATCTCCCTCAAAAGAAGAACAGCAAGGTCCTCCATCAGGAGACCGTGAGGGTGAGTCTGTGACTCAGAGGCCAGCGGTGCACGGGGGCCTGGGCTGACCTGCAGGGCCGTGAGGATGTTGGCGAGGGCCTGGCCGTACGTGTCGTGGCAGTGGACAGCCAAGGCATCCGCCGGCACCTCCGCCAGCACGGCCCCCAGCAGCCGTGCCATGCTGCCTGGCGTCCCCACGCCGATGGTGTCCCCCAGCGAGATCTCGTAGCAGCCCAGATCATGCAGCCTCTTTGCCACCTGGATGGGAAATGCGGCCAATCAACACTGTGGCTTGGAGGTGGAAAAAAATAATGGCTGGAAGGCCAAACATGCAGGCTGGGGTTCGTTCTGTCGCCAGGTATGATGCTCTCTGGCGAAATATTAAAAAATGGAGGTAGGGTCACAATAGACATGACGTACCTTTGTCACTTCTTCCGGCTCTATCTTCCCTTCGTATGGGCATCCGAGTGCACAGGAGACATACCTAAGACAAAGACATTAAGAAAACATGACATTTAAACGTCCCCAAATCTTAGATTTACCACTTAAATAAATGGCCGTCAATATTCTGATGCTTTTCCAGTTAGTCCAACATACACAGTTGACTAAATCTGTGACAGAACAACAGCCTCAGTCGTAAAGCTTGTATGAATTAGTTAGGATGATCTTTTGCTGATGTGGTCCCTGGTGTTCGGTCAGGGATTTAAATATAGAGCCATGTCTTTCTGTACACGGCGTGCTTCTGTTTGGGGGATGATATCTCCGACACCGCTACCCGTCTCCACAGGGTCTCCCCAGGTAGAGGGGCAAGGGGCAGCTCTCGTTCATCGTAACGTGAAACATGTCATGGGTAAGTCACATTTTCCGAAACGGGCGGCACGTGATGAATCTCCCGCTTCTTTCCTGCTCCTGTAAAGCTGCAAACCCTCTGGCTCTGCTCTCTCGGCTGGGTCTGCATTAATAACCAAAATATAAGACGATGTGGATGCGTCCGTCTTGCTGATTCACCGTTAACTTCTGCTCTTTGTGCATTAATAAATCCCCACGAGAGTTTTTATTGTGATGTGGTTTTGGTTCCATGGGTAATTAAAGGAAATAAATGTAAACTGTCACTTTCTTTAAAAAGCATATACAAGTTTTACATTGAGTAAATTATAAGCTTTGAGTTTTATAAACTTTGTGCTGGCATAGAGATTTTTCATGCTCCAGGAATGAAGGGGTTTGAGCCAAAGAGGTCTGAGTTCAGTCTTAAAAAACTGGATTTCCCCTGTCCATGTACACACGGAGCAGCTGTTTAATGCGGTGAAAAACATACAAAAAACATTATGTATACATCTGCTCCAACTTGACAGTAGACTTTGTCCAAACAGAGTTAGGAAGCATGGATGTAATGTGGATTTTCCACATGACGAGCAGAGCTGTGATGCTGGCTGAGTGATTTACAGCCCTCTTCATGTCTGTGAAGCTGAGTGTCTGTGTCCGGGAGATGCTATGCACACTTTGCCTCTGCTGGGGAGCCAGACATCATAGTAAACATTAACTGTGTGACTTATTGCCCATTACTGGGGACCTAAGTGGATTATTTATAAGCTTGACAGCCAGGATATTCCCCTGGCCAAGCGGTCACAGTGCACTAACCCCCGGACAGGTATCTGGGCCTTTTTGGCAGCATGGAGGACTTTTTCGAACCGCTGCATGCTCTCGTCGATGGAGCAGTTGATGTTCTTCCTGCTGAAGGTCTCAGAGGCTGAAGCAAACACAGCCACCTCTGTGGCACCTGCCGCCACCTTGGAAGCAACAGAAAACATCAGCCCAGATTTGTCAAGGATTAGTTGGGTCAGGGTTGAGGTTAGTGGGGTTAGGGTTAGTGTTAGCTGTTCCTTATTGAGGCTACAAGCAGAGAGAGTAGACTCCTGTGTTGTGGCTGAAGACATGAACTTATAAACAACAGCTTCCCTGCTTCAAGACCAAAGAGAGAACTACTGAATTCAAGGAAGGTACTTGAATAATATATCCAGCAAAAACATTAAATGTAAATGCAAAATATCTGATAAAAAGTTATATCTCAATTATAAAACAAATGGTATATCTCTATAATAAACACTTACAGCAGCCTGGAAGCCTTGAAAATTAGGTGTCAGTACTGGATATTTCACTTGAGGTTCTCTGTGGATTCCCCGGAGAACATCTGTGTGGTCAGCCATCTGGGAGTGATCAAAGTGACCGAGGATTGAGCACAGACCAGCAAGCACACTGCCATGTTTATCACCATCTGAGTGTGCCTGTTCAGAGGGCCATCCAGCGAGACACCGAAGAAGCGGGGTGAGATACCAAGTGTGCCTCTCTGTGCCCAAGACGTCCCTCTCCGCAGAGATTTACAGAAAAGAATGGTTACCTAATAAATCACTCAGAGATTTTAGGCAAACAAGAGAGAGAGATATTACCTGTGGCACCCACTTTGAAGACACGAAAGCGGTGGCTTCAATCACGGACAGGCCTGTTTTAGACAACATGTCGATGAGCTCCAACTTCACTTTGGTGGGAACAATTTCCTGAAAGAAGAGGAAATTCATCAGAAATTTTGTGGGTCATTTTCATAAAGCATTTTTTGTGACAATGCTTTCTTGCTGTCTTTTCAAGTTTCATTTCTTAAATCATATTTCTGGGTATTATAAACTTTCTGAAATGGTCGCATATTTATGGATATTGTGAACTTTTTGAAATGGTCGCATATTTATGGTTATTGTGAACTTTCTGAAATGGTAGCATATTTATGGGCATAAATATGGGAATAAAAAAGCTCAGTCTTAACCACGCTAAACATGTAACATCTGATAAAATCATATTATATTTCAAGGTCGGTTTGTATCATTTCATCAAAACAGTGTCTGTGGGAAAATGGGGAACAAGTTCTAAGGGAGTCGCCGAGAAGATCCAAGCATGTTACTCCCTTTTCAAGAACCTTAGTGTGTCACCAATGAAAATGAGAAACCAATTACTTAATAAGTACAGGGAATCAGGATGATCAGTCTTAATTAGTGAAGCAGGTCTGTCTCTGCATTTCATATACCTGGCAAATTCAGCTATGAAACACAGTAATCTAACACAAATCACCACTTAAAGTGTGTGGTTTTTAATCAGAGAGACAATTTTGACATAACTCTTACCTGGAGTAGACTGTCAGATCATACTGGTTAACAGTGCTGAAGGTTACGGTGTTTTGGACATTAGTTACACATTAGATTCCCTGCCTGGATCACTCTGGGTCATCTCCTTTACCATGCTTGCATCACAGATAACATGTTTCGCAAACACTCTGCCCACACGACACTCTACCTTTGCCCAGACAGCACATGCTTTCAAACATAACTTGTTTATATTTCTAGATATAATTTTTCCTCTCCAGAATTGCTTAACAGATGTCTTTTCTTGCATTTTAAAGGTGTTTAATAAAAATGTGATGCCTTATTATCCAAAAAGCCCAAAGAACGAAAAAATGAATGGACAGTGTTTACTAGTACATTATGATTGAGGGTCAATTATGAAACTGTGTTTTCAGAACAAACTGACCAATAAAAGTGGGGATAGTTTAAAAAAAAGGGATAATTTACATTTTCATTCTGCAGTCCATCCCTTGGCCCAACTTCCACAACTTTAACAAACTCTGGGAGCTGATTCGGAGCTGGCACCTGGAATACACACAAAGAAAGTCTTTAGCATTTAGCAAAATGGCTGCGATATGGAAAGCATCCTGTCAACAGATTCATCTTCCACCATCTTTCAACACCCTTGGTCAGATGCACGGTAATAAATCCTAAACAGGGGTCTTGAACATGGTGTCCCACCGCTGCCTGAGCGCTTCACAGCTTCACCCTATCCCTCACTGACTATCATAGCTTCACATGCCGGACGCTCTCCCTAGTCACTGACTATCACAGCTTCACATGC